GCCGTCGCCCTTCGTCTTCATGCTCACCGTCAACAGTCGCCCTTCGTCTTCGTGCTCATCGTCAACAGTCGCCGTCTTGCTGTTGGATTCTCCTTCGTCTTCGTTCGTTCGTCAACAGGTAAAAATCGTTTTCCCCTTGTGGATTTCTCTCTAAACTATGAACACAAATTAGGTTAAATCCTTCAATTTTGACAGATTAGGTTGAATATACATGAACACATATTAGGTTAAATCCTTCAATTTTGACTATTTAGGTTGAAATCTCATGAACACAGATTAGGTTAAAAAAATTATTCGAAGTATTAGAAACCAAATCCTACAAACCAAACAGAGGAATGGATTTCAAATCCAATCCAATCCAAATCCCATGGAATCCAAATCCCTCAAGGGAATCCAAATCCCTCAAAAACATTCCCGCAAACCAAACGCACCCTAAGTGTTTTCATGGTATGCATTAGAAACCACTGTATTTTTTCCACCTTTTTAGGAAAGAACTGTTTACGTTAAGAGTGTGTACTGGGTTAGAACTGAAACAAGATAAAAAATAAATGAAATTGAAAAACAAAATTAAAGATAGAAAGATGGATTCGTTAAATATATGTTAGTTATCCATCATTTTTTTATTGTAAATCATTTTTTTTATTCGTTATAGTCGGTTTACTGTTTATTTAGCATTTCTACGGGCTTATTAATTGGTTTTATGATGTTCACACATAAAGTTTTAAAAGTCGTACATATGCATTTTTAAAATATTAGAAGAGTTTTCGCACGATGCAGCGAGACACATTTCGATTTTAATGTTTTATTTTATTATTTGTTTCTGTCGATGTTATAATACGATTTTATGTGTTTTTAAGAAAGTAAAAATAATTTTATTTTTGAATAAAATATAAATGTGAAGATATCATAAAAATTTGAAAAACAATATATCAATGTTAATATTAAAATCAACTATTTAAAAGTTCTCATTTTTTAATGTAATTTCTTTAATTTATTTATTTTATTATAATTTAATTTAAGTTTAATAACGAAATAATTTATTTTTAGTTTAATAATATAACATTTTATAAAGATAATAATTAAGTATTCTATTAGAACTCAATGATTATCCTAATTATATTTTAAAATTTTAATATGAGATGTTTATCCTGTATTTGATTATGTTTATATGCAGTTAGTTACACGAATTCAGATATGAAGCTTTAATAAGTTGTACTTACGCACAATCTACTTGCAATCTTGAGTCTTAAGTAATATGCATTAATAAACAGTACTTTACGCATAAAAAAATGGTTTTTAAGAGTTTTTGTCAAATGTTTTATAATATAATATAGATAAACTTTAAATATAATACCAGAGTCTTTACTTAAATATTTATATAATATAATATAATATAATATAACTAAAAGAGTACTCGTGCAATATAGCGAAATACATCTTGATTTTGATGTTTTGTTTTATTTTATCTCCGTCGATGTTATAATACGATTTTATTTGGTACTGAAAAATCGATAATGTTTTTATTTTTTTGAATAAAATACAAATTTGAAGGTATCATAAAATTTTGAAAAAAAAATGCATCGATTTTAGTATTAAATTAAATATTTAAAAGTTCCTTTTTTGTGTAATTTATTTAATCAAATTTTTTATTATAATTTAGATTTAGATTTAGTTGTGATGTCACTCATTTTTGGTTTAATAATATAAGTTTTTTTTATAAAGATAAGAATTAGTATTTTGTTAAAATTCAATAATTATCTTAAATATATTTTAGATTTTTTATATTTAAAATAAAATATCTATCCAGTATTTGATTATGTTTATCTACAGTTAGTTATATGAATTTAAACATCCAACTTTAATAACTTGTACATACACACAATTTACTTGTAATTTTAAATTTTAAGTAATATGCATCAATAAACAGTACTTAATGCATAAAAAAATGGTTTTTAAGAGTTTTTGTCAACTTTATAATATAGTATAGATATAATATAATATAATGTTATAATATAATATATACACGCATTCATTCTCACTAAGAAGCAAGAAATTAAAAGTTGTAGTTGAAGAAGGTAAATATAACATGTCAATTGACACCATTAGTAAGTATAAATGGTTCATGTGGTGGTAGAAGTGCAATTCAATGTGCTTTAAATTAATCTACTATGAGAGTGATTCATGTAAGGTTGTTAATTCCGATGTATGGCCCACTAGTATTTCCATCGGTTTAAGCGAGTCAACTGGTTGAATCGATGGTGCTGTAACGGCTGTTAGTGATGACGGTGAACCCTGATGGGTTAACGATGTCACAAGTATCTGGAGATGGACAGTGGGGTATAAATTCTTTCAAGTTTGAATATAGTTATTTTGTTAACTATTTGTGAACCGAGGAATTCTTGGAGGAACGAATGCTTGAATACTTGAACGTTTGATTTCTTGAGATGTTTAAACACTTCATTTAGATGATGATGTTAAACAATTTAAGACATGACTTAATGCGAGAAATTTTATGTCATATGTATGTGTGTGCGTATGTATTCTACTATTATTTAATGATATAATGATATTAAACAATTTAAACTCATATAAGGGCATAACCAAATGAGAACTTGGTAGTTTGTGATAACTGTGAGATCCAACATTAGCCAATTAATTATAGATATTAGTTTATTTAATCAATAAAATGTCTAGTGATTTTAGTAATAAAAAGAGTGAATTACCCCTTGTGGTTTGCTTAAATTTTAGATTTGGTCCATAAAACAAACTATCTACGTTAGTGGTTCTTAACATTTTGTTTTCATTACACCCGTGGTCCCTCCATTTAACATTGTTAGATTGACCACCGTTAAGTAACATCATTTGCATCATTTTCATTTGTCAAAGACCTTCCAGCCTAGTGGTAAAGGCTTGGGCATGACATAGTCATGAACCCGAGTTCGAGCCCTGGGAGTGGAGTGTTGGCGACATTTAAGTGGGGCCATGTTTAGCCTCCAAATTTGATGGGGATTAGTCGGGCTTTGGCCCGGACACCCTTACAAAAAAAAAGTAACATCATTTGCATGCACATGAGGGCAAAAATGTCATTTTCTTTCTTTCTTCCCCCACCTTCCTCTTCTTCTTTAACACGAGAACGCTCACCTTAATCAGATTATACCATCCTCTCTCATCCAACTTAGGGACTGTTTACTAAATTTTTTTGGGTAATTGTTGATTAAGATAAGAGGTTTGACTGGAGTAAGAAATCTGACTATGGTAAGTACTGACTTGAAAATGTTGTTTGCCAATTTTTTATATTAAAGTGCTGATTGAATAAAATGACAACAATAACCTTGTCTCTAAGTAATATTGCGACAAATATGACCTTAACCACACAAAAAAAAAATGGTGGACCTATCAACAAAAAAAAAAAAAAAAAAAAAAAAAAAAAAAACTCAACTTCAACCCCTAAAAAAACACACAATTTGTGGA